GTGTTGGTGTGTTTGTGTGTGTGTGTGTGTGTGTGTGTGTGTGTGTGTGTGTGTGTGCATTTTCCTAGCTAGAATAGAATTGTGATGTTTTGGGCCAAGGGTATGTGCCTGCATTGGGGCGAATTTTCGGGTGACTGAACTTTCAATTCTTCTGGAAGTCCATCTATTGCTCTGTATACGGTGTATTTGACTAGCTGCCACCCTCAAGGCTTCGAATGACGCATTTCTGTCCAAAATCCTCAGTTGGGAGCCTTTTTATACGACATGTGCCTGTTTTTGTCAGAGTGAAATCATCAATTCATATTCATAGATCTAAATATACCCTTTGTCTGGAGACGGATCTTGAATGACAAAATTGTTGAACGCATAGAATTATATTATGGAATGGGAAGCCACCCCAATTTAAAGCACAAGGCATTCACTGAGAATTTTGGACACTGATATGTTCTGAGCCCAGGTCCTTTGTGAATATTGTGAATAGAATATTTTGTAATATTTGACCATTGGCAGAACCAGTGAAGCTGTGCTCTCTCTCTCTCTCTCTCTCTCTCTCTCTCTCTCTCTCTCTCTCTCTCTCTCTCTCTCTCTCTCTCTCTCTGTCGTTGTTGTCCGCTTGTATTCCTTATCCCTCCTGTGTGAACTACTGTATGCTTAAAGTTATCTTTATAGCTGTCAAGCAACATTCTTTCTTCCTCTAAGTCAGTGGGCATTTTTCAAAGTTGTTGAGTATGTGTACTCTGTACGTTTAAAAAACTTTGGTGTTTGTAGTTTTTGTCCTCCTCGATGTTACATACCCCACCCCCCACACTTCATTTGCAGGAGAACTTGATGCAGGCAGTGGGATCTGGTTTGTTGGTTGCTATGCCGACATAAAGGACACTTATTGAACCAGGCCCAGAGTTCTGTCACCGGCATACAACGTTAGATCCCCACAAAGCCCACTGACATTGGACTTTTCAGGTGTGCTCAACTCTGAGCTAAGCCTTCCACTTGGCCTTTTGTCTATTCTGAATGTCAGTCCAACAGCTTTGTACCGCTGTCGGAGATACAATTTCCATCCCAATCTTGCTATTCATCCATGAAAAAAATGTCCAGAATGAGCCCACAGGCAGTGCTATAGATGTACCAACATATCACCGTTACAATATGTTCAAATGTGCACAGCAAGTCATCAAGCTAGCCTGTGAGTGCCTAGCTGATGTAGAAGTAGATTTTAGTGATCTTGTCAAATTATCATCACAGCCAAAATTACCTTTTAAAAATAAGATTTATTTCATCAGCATAAAAGATGAACTTTGTAATCACAGTTTTACATGTGCGTTGTTCTTAAAAAAAAAAAAAAAAAAGAAAAAAGAAATATGATCTAACACGGATGATGAAGTGTATGTTCCATATCAACATATGAGGGGCCCAGATTCCCGCTATGTTCCCTCATCCCGAGGATAGTGATTACTCAGAGAAAGCCAAAAATAGTTGACAGGGTGGGAGCGGAAAAAGTGTCATAGTTTAAGTACTAGTACCATTTTTGGTGTAGTGACAGAATTAAAACAAGGAGACAAGCACAGACAGGCTGGCCTTTTTCTTATTTAGAAAGCTGTATTAAACACAGCAACACAGGGTGAGATTTTCGTGACTGGCGTAAATGCTGCGCAGCATGTGGCATAACTCGACGTGGAGGCGGATTAGACTGATTTTTGGAAATTTCGTAGACAAGCGCAGGCCGGTGGATCTGGGTCATAAATACAGTCATATCAAACAGGGAGGGCTGCCCCGCTATGGGAGTGGTCACAACTGACTGAGCTCATGGCCAATCAAAGCAGCTCAATTCACTCTCGTCAGCGCAAGTTGAGCAGCAAAGTCTCGACATGGCGGAGGAGTTTGCATGTTCTGAGGTGGGCATTTGGAGACTGCCCCTGCCCAAATTGTTAATTCCACCCCTAAAGCTGTATCATTCCCCTAAGTGTGTGTGTATATATATATATATATATATAGAGAGAGAGAGAGAGAGAGAGAGAGAGAGAGAGACTTCACATTGCAGAGGTACCAGGTTTGGTTTCAGCTCTGGCCTTGCTGTGTGGAGTTTGCATGTTCTCCCCGTGCATGCGTGGGTTTTCTCCAGGTCCTCCGGTTTCCTCCCACATTCCAAAAACATGCATGGCAGGTGGATTGAATACTTCAAATTGTCCCTAGGTGTGAGTGTGAGCGCGGATGGTTGTTAGTCTCTGTGTGCCCTACGATTGGCTGGCAACCGGTTCAGGGTGTCCCCCGCCTACTGCCCAAATACAGCTGGGGTAGGCTCCAGCACCCCCTGCGACCCTAGTGAGGATAAAGCGGTTCTGAAAATGGATGGATGGATGGATATTTTAAAATAAATGCAATGGTTCAGAGGGTTTGATGCCTGCTGTTCATATATAGTATGAATGAAATATGTTGCGTTAGACGAGCTGTCGACCCTGCACCAGAGCTAGACATGGTCTGAGAATGCGTAAGGTTGAGATCGGCTTTCTGCCACCGAATCGTCACTCCGCCAGGCAATTTCAATGACACTCCTTCTGCTGCACCGGCCCACCCAGCTTGGAGGAGACCTGTTTGTCACATTGGCAAATGCACAGCGAGCCTTGCAGCGAATTGAAAATAAGGACCCGCCGGCATTTGTGTCAAGGTGCAGTTGCCCTGTCTATGAAAAAAAGGAGCCCATCATGTTTACAGGCTTCATTCCAACATTTGGAATATTTTAATCTACTGTAGAACAGGTAATGGCAAAAGTGAGGTCTCTTTTCTTTGATTTGGCTGAAACGTTTTTGCTTGTTTTGTGTCAGCAGCCCTTTCAAACACAATTTGAATTCGGCTCAATGTCTCCATTGATTTTTGTACACAATGAAAAATAATAGACCCGCCCTGTCTTGTTTGGCGCTCTCTTTCTCTGTTATGTATTCTCATTTGTCTTCTTCAAGAGCAATCGGTTTTCTTCTCACGTTTTGCTTTGCCCTCCTATGCCACCTGTTGTTGTTAAGACTATTGCTGTGCGTATCTTGTCGTGTTTGATATTATTTATGACCTTGTCTTGTGTCCCAACTGTGAAAAGCCTGATAAAACATCTATATCTGCCACATATATGGTTTGTGGACTTTTTTTTTTTAACCTCCCTTGGTCATGGTTTAAGCTGTGCAAATGAAACACATTTGAGGTTTTTTTTTTCTTTTTTGCAAACAGGGGTTTCCTTTTAAATCTTGCTTGGAAATTTCAGTGGACACTTTCGGATAGACAAGAATATCTTGCTAAGTTCACAGCGAAACTGTCTGGTGACCAAAGTGTAGATGAGCGGATCCACTGCAGCTTGCACGCAGGTCAGCACCAGAGCCGAGGTCTCCATCTCCAGCAGTAACTGTATGACAGAGAATGCAACAAAATGCAAGTCACTGTTTCCAAAATAAGGAGGTTTAAATTTGTTTTGAGGATAAAGCACACGTGCTTGCATCCAACAACAAGCAGTTGCAGTCAGTGACATATTCGGGGATTTGCTTTCTGTGAGGGTACATAGGGCAGCATTACTGTGTAGGATACACCGATTGAATCCTTAACATAAAAGAAAGTAATCATGCTGTCAAACATCGCCAAAAAAAGAGACTAGGTCTCTCAATGGTTGCACTGAATGGCAAGAATTTAAAAAAAAATTGATTGTTTAAGAAATCTATTAGACCACTCATGTATAGTTTATGCTACAGCTGCCCCAAACTAGCTAAATCTTTTTGTTTTGCTTGTTTCACCAGTAATACTTCACTATGTATCGTCAAATTGTCTTTCTAATTTTAGTGATTCTCTATCTTATACATTTTTTGTAAATTTTTTGTTTTATATAGTGTTACTTGTTACTAAAAATGGAGAAAGGAATTTCTTTGTGTATCCTGGTCCTTGTTATATTTACATTGACAATAACAAGCTTACAATCTTTGCGGAACTCACCAATTTATATTTTTTAATGCTAAACTGATCTATTTATGACTAGTTATGAGCAAATGTTCAAATTGACCATCTTAAACTGGCCAAGCACAGTATTGTTATTTCTTGACGAAGATGTCAAACTACAGTGACATTCCTGGTGGCTGATGTTAGACTGAATTTCTGAGAAGCCCAATAAACTGCCTCAATTTGGGGATGAGTGAATGATTTCGACGAATTTAACAAGCACTAACAATAGATCTGCATTGGTTGCTGTTAGTTTGTGTTGGTTGTTGAAGAACTACTGTCCTATCATTCACCTAATAATTGACACAGTAATTGTCAACGTGAACGTTATGATGCCTCAAACTAACACATACTGTTTTGTTTGTGTCCAACTCACTTTGTCGGTATCCGGCCGCGCGATGAGGTGATTCATGAGCAAAATAACCACCATGGGGAGCCAAAAAAGCGTGAAGGTGATAATAATGTAGCCAAAGCGTTTGGCCAGTTTGCCCTCAACCTGCTTCTTCCCTCGTTCCCTGGCTCCGGGCGTCCGAAGACACACCGCCCCCACGATCTCCGGTAGTGTCCTGCGGGCTCCTGCGGCCACGGGGCCCGAGCACGACTCCCCGGACACCGAGTGCCCCGGCCGGCAGCCGGCCACCGGCTTGCAGCAGGCCAGCGGCGGTGCTGACCGTGGTGCTGAAGCCGACTCGCCCAGACAGCTCCAGACGTGCTCAGACACCGTGGGCATCACTCGAATACCCCGACTGAAAACTTTCTTTCGATGCTGCCTGACGAGTTTGATGATTCGCCCGTAGTGAATGACGATAACAGTGAGAGACAACCCCCATATGGGTACCAAAACGTAAGGTCCGAACGGATACGGATGACCGTCGCTGGGAGGGACGGGTGGCCGGCAGTGCGCGTAAAAGAGGGATTGCTTGGAGAGAGTCAGGGCTATTCCGGCCAATACGAGGCCGCATAGCCAGATGAACATGATCCAGAGGCGAACGCGGGCTCTCCTACGCTCGGTTTGGAAGGGGAACGAGATGGCGTGGTAGCGCTCCACGCTGATGCTGGCCAGGGTGAGCAGTTGCACGCAGCTGCACAAGGCCCAGGTGAACTGCTGCAGGGCGCACACGGACACCGGCAGCCGGTTGCTTTCCGCGGATCGCACGAACGAGGCGAGCAAGAGCGGCGTGTCCACGGAGCACTTGAGGAGGTCACTGGCGGCCAAGCTGACAAGAAGCGCGTTGTTGCTCGTCTGGAGCCACTTGGTGCGGAACACGACCCAACACACCCACACGTTGCCGGGCAAACCCACGACTAAAGTCAGAATCAAGATCCCGCATTTGAATGCGAGAAACAACAGATCCGGGTTGCTCTCGAAGTCAGAGACTGTGGCGTTGCTGGAAACGCGCACGTCCATCATCCAGGCTGTTTCTCTTCTATGGCACGTCTTTCCATGGCAAACGTTTTGTAGCCACACATCCTGCAGAAATCACATCCTGCTCGTCCAAGGTTGCCACTCACGGATTTAATTTCAAGTGCAGTAAACAAAACAAAAACACAAGATTGAGTGGTCACCTGGTGGCAGTACTCGAGTGTTGTTTTTTTCCTCGCTTCACTGATTGTCAGCGCTGATTAGCTGCAATCACCTGAAGCTGTCTTGACCTTGCTCAAGCCTTAACAAAGATGGATTAACGGGACAATGTTTCGAGAAAAAAAGAAAAAAGCTGTGCTCCAAAACTGAACTCATAATCGTACGGAGTTCTTTGTCGCAGATGTAATGTGTACTGAAGTATCTGAGTCATTATCACCTTAATGGTGCCTTTGAGACTTCCTGATTACACCAAAAGAAAGTCTATCTCGTTGTTGTCTTACCGTTATGCTGTTAATCATGCACATTGGTCAAGATGCCCAACTTCCATTTGCTGCCTGCAGCTCATGCAATCAGCAAAATAAGTGAGATTGCCGACAGGGTGGACGATTCGTTTGGCAGGATGACTTTGTGCTATTTAATGTGTATTTTGAATTTCTGAAAGGATTTGTCGAGCTTGACAACATCCGACTACACACACAATGTTGAAAATGACCCAACATGAACATTGAACCACAACACACATGACAGTTAACAAAACAGTACGTTGCCAAAACCACATATTGCAAAGAAGGGAAAAGCACATAAAATGAAGGAAACACATCATGTACTGGTACCTGTGGAAATGTTCAGCCACTTATCGTAAGACCTCAGACTTTCATTGTTCTTCTATATTTCCTGATTACATCATCACTTCCTCATGACATTCTGATTAAGTGATTCTGAAGACACCAAAGGCACTTTATAATGATATTGACCCTCCTTACTGGTAGCTCGGGACGTATAAATCAGTGTTTGAGCAGTTCCTCCACATAAACTTTGTTCATACGATAAGCTGCCATCCAGTTGTGAGCTGCTCTGTAGTAGCCTTGGTAAGTTGGCTCTTGAAAAGGAGACATTGAGGCGTAGTAATCAACCCATGCTCGGTAGGACTCTCTCCAGTAACTCTCAGCATGAGAGTCATCTTCCACGTCGTACTTGTCTTCATCCCTTTTCCATTGCTGCTCTTTCTTCATTTTCTCTGGCTTCCGGCGGCTCCATTTTTCAATCTGGACTTTCTTCTTTGTCAGATCATTTCTGGTTGGTCTGTCCGACGATGTCTGATTAGTTTGTGCGCCAGCTTTAATACCGAGCATTGAGTTCAAGTCGCCCGGCCGGGGTGAAGTTCTGCTGCTCGTTGCGTTTGTTGGCTGGAATGTAATGGAAGCTTCAGGTGTAAATGGCTCCAGCGTGCAGCTATGATTTGCTTCTGTCTGAGGGTGAATGACTGCAGTGCTCTCTCCGCCTACAGTCATGCGGGCCTTGTCGTCTAAGTCATCTTCGGGGCTTGAAGAACCGGGGGTTAATTTTGTAGAGTGACGCTCCGAATTCCAGCCTTGACACAACTCACCGCCGTCATCATGAAGCATGGCAAATTCTCTGTGCCCGTTAGAATCACCGCCGTCGCCCTGGCCACTGAACTCCCTGACGATCTCCACTGATCTTCCCAGTCCTGTCATAATGAACTCTTGGAAGTCCCGCTCAGCCTCTTCGAACGTCATAAACCCGGATGTGCAGCTCTTAAATGAGCTCAGCGGAGAGATCTTTGGCAGTGCGTCTTGCAGCTCTTTACGCGTCGGCGCCGCTTTAGAGGGGCTCTGTGGGAGCATATTCTGTGTAGGATGCGTCTTTCCAGAAAGCCCTTCAAGGCCGCGGCTCATCTTAGGCTTTCCGGAGTCCTGAGTTTCCTCAGTGACAAGGGCAGAACCAGACGGCGGGCACACTTTAGAGCGTACAATCTTCTTTTTCTCATACATGGAGAAGTGCTGGGCTTGGAGGCCCGGAGATGAAGCCTCGGCGCAGACATCCCAATCACATTGCTCAGCCATCAGTCCAGCATCAATGGTGGCTAAATTGGAAGAAGACAGCGATGACAGGAAGAAGTTGTCTGACCAAGTTCACGAGTTTGGAAAGCAGTTTGTGCATTTCTGTTGTGAATGTGTGATGTCATTATACTTAAGTAGCTAAAGCAAGATCCTTACCAAGCAGACATCTCAAAGTGGAAGCAAATCAGACTGAGGTAATTTTGTTCCAGACAAACTCAGTGGAGACATACAAAGCATGCTACAAGCAAAGTGCTGGTAAATAATACCTGGCAACGCTGACAAATTCAGGCCACATTTTTGAGCAATTGCCATCATCTTGTTCTCCTCTTCACCATGGCAACAGTAGGTCACAGCAAGGCCCTGAGTGCCTGTGAACAAAGTTGGATTCTGATTTGAATTCCTCATGATGTATGAGGGCTGAATTTTTGTATGACCATTTTTATATTTCTAGTCTAAAAGTTATTATAGCCTTGGGAATATTACCTGTGTGGTTTTGAGTCTTTTTACAGTGTTTGTGCAGGCAGGGATATTTCTCGTGATGTCACGATAACAGCGATATTGTGATATTAAAATATCGCCACCATGTCGTGTAATCATGTTATGCAGAAATTACAACAGTGTGAACTACACAGACCATGATACTTAGCGCCGCTGAGCCAATTGGAACAATGACAAAAAAAATGATGTCATGTACAAAAACACAATATTGTGCTTTTTTTCCAATATGAGCTTTTTTTAAATATTGCCAACCACCCACACAATCAATATTGTGATAATTATTGTTTCACGAGGTTCATATTGTGATAATATCAAATCGTCGCATTTGGATCTTGTTACAATCCTATGATATCACTCAATTTTGACAGATAACAGATCACACTCTTGATTTTGTTTTTCTTGCAAAAGATCTCAGAAAACATCCAATGACAAAAATTAGGTGTCTGTTTTTTAGGTTTAAAATGAATTTTTTATTTCACATCACGCAACTTGTAATACATTCTAAAATACTATGAATAATACTTATTAGCATTATTATTGTTAAGAACTGGATCAGCCCATGGAAAGGGATATTTTACTCTAAATTTAATATTGTGTTGGTCATGAAATCATTCATTATATTTTGTTGGGGGTAAATAAGCGATATGTCTTTAAAACTATCAATATAAATAGTCCATCTAATCTAAAATGCATTATTAGGGGGCAATTTTGATTACCTCCACAAATGATTGCACCTGAGTCGGTATGTGAGTGAGAGAGTGAGTGAGTGGTTGGGTCTCGGCCAATAACACCATGTGCTAAAGGTGCCTGCATTAGCCAATCAAAGCAAGATACACTAAAAGGACCACAACTCCCAGACACCCGTTTGAACGTCCTTCTTCCGGCTAATTCAAGAAATAAATACATCTAAATTCACATTTAAGAATCAAGCCAAAAGGTTCATGTATTAAATTAATTGCCGAAGACAAAAACGATGGACAATTATCGTTAGTTTTGTCAACATAAAATGTAGTTTTGGTTCATTTCCGGTTCTTTTTGTTTTTATTTTCTGTCATTCATTAAAACAAATGATGGGGAAAATGAAACTTCATGAAACTCTAGATCAGGGGTCACCAACCTTTTTGAGAGTGAGAGCTATTTCATGTGTACTGATTGTGTGAAGGGCAACCAAATTGATACACCTCTGAAATAACATTTGTACAAATTACATTTAATAATATTAGAATGTCTCACAATACTGCCAGTGTTTGCATTTTTAAATCATAATTTCTACTAGCAAATCACATTCCTAGCACTGGCGGGCTATTGGTGTGGTCCTCACAGGCTACCTGGTGCTCGCGGGCACCACGTTGGAGACCCCTGCTCTAGATGGTCCTCTTGGTTTAAAGATAAAGGCTGGTGCAATGGAAATTAATAAATTCCCACTGCATCTTTAAACCAAGAGTGACATTTAGAGGAATCAAAAAAATGATCACAAGTGCTTCATGAAGCTTCATTTGTCCATCACTATTGAAGAGCTTTGATTAATTTTAGTTTCAACTAAAATACCCTTGGTTGAAAGTTAGTCACTTTGGCCGTGTCACCTTTCACTCTTTAGTGACTACCTTGGAGATGCATCTAAAAAACCCAACTGAACACTGACCGAAGCGCCCAGCTCGCCCGATTCGGTGCATGTATGTTTCCCAGTCCTGTGGCACATCCAGATTTATCACCAGGTTGACCTTCTCTGCGTCTATGCCCCGAGAGGTCTAACAGGGAGAACAATCACAAGATGACTCATAGCAATGTTCTTTTTCATGTATTTATTTAATTTAATCTTATTTTTTTTAAATGTGCAACTCACCAGATCAGTTGAGATGAGTACTCTGCATTGATACTGCTTCAATTTGGACATGGCCTCAAGTCTCTGCTCCTGATTCAGACTACCTGCGTGATCAAAAAAGAAATTGTAAGTCACGACTGCTATGACAAAGAAGCAACCCTACGCTGATTTGGTGAAGCCAAGTTCAATTTAGGATGATCTCATCTCGGCTATTTAAAGGCGGCTGTGGCCCCCCGACGTCTCCCTCTAAATCTTACCTGAGATACAAACAGCAGGTAGGCCTTTAGAGGACAAGATGTCTGCCAGATGCTGAGCCCTGGAGGGGAACGCAAAGTATCAGTGTTTTCACTGACAGTACGTCTCCTTTTCCAAAAAAAAGTTCATGTTTGACATCAATCAAATCTACCGGTATAAATCACCTCGTATGCAAGTTGGAGAAGACAAGCGCTTGGTTAAAAGGCAGTTTACTGAACAACTCAAGCAAGAGATGGACCTTCTCCTCAAAGACCTTATGAGGTAATGGATGGGACTGCACCAACTTGTAATACTGCCTCAGGCCTGGTGTGGACCAAACATGAACATTAATAAGGAGCATTTGTTCAATTAAATCAGGGTGCCAAAATGCAGGAGGCTCGAATGGATTAACTGCATGTACCTTTGAGTCCCATGTCCCTGGGGTTGAGCCTGACAAAAGTGGGCTCTCTCATGTAGCGGGTAAGATGTTGAGCAAGAGATTCTGGGTAGGTGGCAGAGAGTGCCAGCATCTGTTTGTTCACAGGCAAACAGGAGAATATCCAGCTGGAGAGGGACAAAATATTGTGGGTTGACAACCTCATTTTGTAAGAAGCTTGCAAATGTTCTGCCTTTGGTCCCCATACTTGATCTGTTCCTGGAAGCTGCCCTCCTCCAGCAGCTTGTCTGCCTCATCCAGAACAAAGAGACGAATGCTGGCGGTGGACAACATGCCGAGATCAATGAGCTGCTTAATACGACCTGTGAGAATGACCAAAATGACACCTAAATTACAAAGGTTTTTTTGTAGTTTTTTTTTCCTCATGAAATAAACAAGGACTTTAAGGATTGTGGACATTTTGCGTCTTAGGGATCAAGAGGGCTTGGTGGGGAAACCGTGCTTTCTTTGGTTTACTGTCTTTTGAAAAATTAGCCATGCTCAAACAGCCCCAGGATGATTCTTTCACAACTTGGTTTCCTGTGCATAACTTACCAACTGGTAGTGATGGGAAAATGAAATTTCCTGTAGCACTTGTGATATTTTTTTCACCGCTCTAGATGGTGCTCTTGATTGAAAGATAAAGGTTAGTGCCATGGATATACATCAAATTTCAACTGCATCTTTAAACCAAGAGTGCCATCTAGAGAAGTTAAAATTTATCACAGGCTTCCTCTGGCCATCATTCGTCTACAGAATTGTGGGTTAAAGTTGGTAACGACGGGCCCGTTTACCAGGTGAGCCCACTGCGATTGCAATGGAAATTAATAAATTCCCACTGCATCTTTAAACCAAGAGTGACATTTAGAGGAATCAAAAAAATGATCACAAGTGCTTCATGAAGCTTCATTTGTCCATCACTATTGAAGAGCTTTGATTAATTTTAGTTTCAACTAAAATACCCTTGGTTGAAAGTTAGTCACTTTGGCCGTGTCACCTTTCACTCTTTAGTGACTACCTTGGAGATGCATCTAAAAAACCCAACTGAACACTGACCGAAGCGCCCAGCTCGCCCGATTCGGTGCATGTATGTTTCCCAGTCCTGTGGCACATCCAGATTTATCACCAGGTTGACCTTCTCTGCGTCTATGCCCCGAGAGGTCTAACAGGGAGAACAATCACAAGATGACTCATAGCAATGTTCTTTTTCATGTATTTATTTAATTTAATCTTATTTTTTTTAAATGTGCAACTCACCAGATCAGTTGAGATGAGTACTCTGCATTGATACTGCTTCAATTTGGACATGGCCTCAAGTCTCTGCTCCTGATTCAGACTACCTGCGTGATCAAAAAAGAAATTGTAAGTCACGACTGCTATGACAAAGAAGCAACCCTACGCTGATTTGGTGAAGCCAAGTTCAATTTAGGATGATCTCATCTCGGCTATTTAAAGGCGGCTGTGGCCCCCCGACGTCTCCCTCTAAATCTTACCTGAGATACAAACAGCAGGTAGGCCTTTAGAGGACAAGATGTCTGCCAGATGCTGAGCCCTGGAGGGGAACGCAAAGTATCAGTGTTTTCACTGACAGTACGTCTCCTTTTCCAAAAAAAAGTTCATGTTTGACATCAATCAAATCTACCGGTATAAATCACCTCGTATGCAAGTTGGAGAAGACAAGCGCTTGGTTAAAAGGCAGTTTACTGAACAACTCAAGCAAGAGATGGACCTTCTCCTCAAAGACCTTATGAGGTAATGGATGGGACTGCACCAACTTGTAATACTGCCTCAGGCCTGGTGTGGACCAAACATGAACATTAATAAGGAGCATTTGTTCAATTAAATCAGGGTGCCAAAATGCAGGAGGCTCGAATGGATTAACTGCATGTACCTTTGAGTCCCATGTCCCTGGGGTTGAGCCTGACAAAAGTGGGCTCTCTCATGTAGCGGGTAAGATGTTGAGCAAGAGATTCTGGGTAGGTGGCAGAGAGTGCCAGCATCTGTTTGTTCACAGGCAAACAGGAGAATATCCAGCTGGAGAGGGACAAAATATTGTGGGTTGACAACCTCATTTTGTAAGAAGCTTGCAAATGTTCTGCCTTTGGTCCCCATACTTGATCTGTTCCTGGAAGCTGCCCTCCTCCAGCAGCTTGTCTGCCTCATCCAGAACAAAGAGACGAATGCTGGCGGTGGACAACATGCCGAGATCAATGAGCTGCTTAATACGACCTGTGAGAATGACCAAAATGACACCTAAATTACAAAGGTTTTTTTGTAGTTTTTTTTTCCTCATGAAATAAACAAGGACTTTAAGGATTGTGGACATTTTGCGTCTTAGGGATCAAGAGGGCTTGGTGGGGAAACCGTGCTTTCTTTGGTTTACTGTCTTTTGAAAAATTAGCCATGCTCAAACAGCCCCAGGATGATTCTTTCACAACTTGGTTTCCTGTGCATAACTTACCAACTGGTAGTGATGGGAAAATGAAATTTCCTGTAGCACTTGTGATATTTTTTTCACCGCTCTAGATGGTGCTCTTGATTGAAAGATAAAGGTTAGTGCCATGGATATACATCAAATTTCAACTGCATCTTTAAACCAAGAGTGCCATCTAGAGAAGTTAAAATTTATCACAGGCTTCCTCTGGCCATCATTCGTCTACAGAATTGTGGGTTAAAGTTGGTAACGACGGGCCCGTTTACCAGGTGAGCCCACTGCGATGTGGCATTTCTTCAGATGTTGTTTGTCCTGACTGACAGGCCGGCCTCCGATGAACACGTGGCACTGCAAGCCCTCCATGGCGCAGCCTATCGCCATGAACACGGAGTGGATCTGCACTGCTATCTCTCGAGTCGGAGCCAGCACGAGAACCTGCACGGGTCAGCGTAAAAGTCAAGAAGCACTTATGCTTGATTGAAGCAGATTGGAGCCAAAGTCTTGTGCTGGGTGCAGTGATTAGTAAGACCCTGCAGCTAATCAAGTCAACTTGCACTAAAGTTTAGTGCAAGTGACTAAACTGTCGAAAGGCTGGACGTGCCTCTGCTTTATCAATAATTGTCCAGTCTCATTTAAGCATATGAGACTGTGCAGCTTGACCTCATCAGATTAAGACACCCATAACCAAAGTGATTAACACACATGGCCATCTGTTGTTCGTCAAGTTATGGTAAAGCTCACAATAAGGCTTGTTTTTTTGTCTTTTTGGTGGGGCGAGAAGGGGAAGTATCAATTACAGTGATTGGGCAAAAGAGAGCTGCTTATTGACTGCAACTATACTCACCTGTGTGGCAGAAGTGTCCAGGATCAGAGAGTCCAAAGCAATTGTGCAGAACACGCATGTCTTTCCCGTGCCAGACTTGGCTTGCACAATCAAATCTGAAACAAGACAACCATGGGTGGGCCCCATCATTAGGAATAATCATAATTGACTTGATTGGGCACATCATGAACGAGTCACATGTAGTGGGTGCCCCCAATGCCTCCTATTTGTAGTTACAACTGATTGGTTGCTAAATGTAACCAGTGATGCAAGCTTTGTTTTTAGGCATTGTGAATGCAGTCAAGACAACGCTGTTTGTTTACAGGGCAAAATACAAAATGGAACAGGAAAAAACATTCAGTGCTCAACATCATTGAGAACATTTTCTTTGATAGTCGTGCAATGTTCAAGTTGTGCATAATATTACAGTGGTTTACAATAATAATGCAGAAACGTTCTAGGACTGAAGCTCATATTTAATGTTAGTCATGATGGTGATGATTGGAGAGTTTTGGATTGTTTTAGGTGATACAAGTGTAAAAGGTTTGAGAACCCCTGCCATTGAAAATATAAACTCATGGATTTCTCTAATCTGGGCGTATTGTAGTCATTAAAAACTGAACACTGTAAAACCATCCGTGGCCTTCTTTCGTTCCACAAATTACGTACATCTGACGTTGTATGTAATTTGAGATGATTGGGCGTCTATTTGACTTTTCCTGATGACATATTGGCATGATGTTATTAATCGAAAGAGGCAAACAGAAACAGAGTGAGGAGGTACCAAGTCCGCATCGGCCAAGCGGGATCGCCTTCAGTTGGATCGGGGAAGGTTTTTGAAAGCCTGCAGCTGTCAGTCCCTCCAGCACGACGTCAGACAATAACAGCGACCTGAAGTCGATCCCCTCCGTTAAAATGACATCGTCGGTCCTGCTTCGCGTATCTATATCGTGGGCTGCTTTCCTGATGGAGGCCGCCATGTTTCTTCAGAGCCAGCCAACCACCGTTCAAAGAGTGCGGCTTAAAAGCTCCGTCGAAACAAAGTCGAGCTGAGACTACACTGCCCCCTAGCGGTCTGGGGTATAAAGTTTAGCTCAACGGGAAAAAAAAATCGGTCTGCACACACAATTGTTTCCTAAAAATAATCTATAAATCAGGCTCAGTGGCGGTTCTAGATCAGTTTCACTGAGGGGGCCGGGCTGGGGCCGGGGTTTTGATGGAGGGGCACATTCAACCCAAGGGCTAAAAAGACAAATTCGAAATATTATTTGACTTTTTATTTCATCAAACTTTGAAAGCATTGTAGTCATAACATTACAGTGATCAGAAAAAAACAGTATTAGGAGGGCTAAAATATCTGCAAGCGTAACAATACGCCGAGTCCATCTGTTGAGAATATTCAAGCCAGGGGTGGATATGGTACCAGCCTGCCTTGAAGCTCCTTCTCCTGTCCCCCATC